TTTCCTAATAAAAGTCGTTTTCTTTTCTTTTCATCCTCGAAAAACCGTAACTCTTGTCGATTTCAGGCGCTGTGGAGGGAGGGCGAATTCGCTCTAAATGCTCCCCCTCTCCCTCCTGGACTCGCCAGTGGCACTCGTTCGGTCTGTCTGTCTGTCTGTCTGTCTGTCTGTCTGTCTGTCTGTCTGTCTGTCTGTCTGTCTGTCTGTCTGTCTGTCTGTCTGTCTGTCTGTCTGTCTGTCTGTCTGTCTGTCTCTCTGTCTGTCTGTCTGTCTGTCTGTCTGTCCAGTGGCGGATCCAGGGGGGGGGGGGCAAAATGGGCATTTACCCCCCCAAACGGCATCATTTTAACATTACGCCTATGGACGATGCATGGAAAGATTCGATAAATTGTTATGGTTTGCCCCCCCCCCCAAAAAAAAACTCTGAGCTGGATCCGCCTCTGTGTCTGTCTGCCTGCAAGTGCAGTCTGTCGACTCATGCTTAGTATCACCACATTGCATCGCCATATACCATCAACACAACTTCTACAAAATGGCAATTGTTTTCAAGCGGTCCTCATCGGCCCACGGCCACGCCCCACAATTCACAAACTGAAATGCAAATCAATAGCCAGTGCTGATTCACTCACCGTCGTCTGACTACAGCGCCTCTAGCGGCAGCAATCCGCACTACTAACTGCCAGGTGTCTCGCGTCCTCGCGTTCTCGTCCTTGATAATATCATGCGGGTCCCAACAGCTGGCCCCTCGGCCAGCGGGCGGGGGGAGGGGGGGGGGAGAGGCAGGTCGAGCGCGCCAAGACGCAGCTGTGTGGTCAGATAACCGACTCTGATTTCTGAATGACCGTTACAAGTCACGTTCATCTACTGGCCGGCCGGCTGCCGGAGTTTGAATCAAACAAAGAAAGGCAAAAGATGCGGGTACAGATGTTTTCATGGAGAAGAGAGCCGAGGGGCAATCGGAATTCGCACCGCTCAGGGCTACTGGCTGATTCAGAAAAGCAGCCTGCTGCTAGTTACGCAGCGCCTGTAGTTGATAAAACTTGTCGATTTTTCCCAGAAAAGAAATACCTAAACTTTTTTTTTGGAAAAGTTCCCTTCGTTTTAAACCGTACCTGTAGTGTACGTACAGCAGTGCACAATAGATCGAAATCTGAGGAGAGTTTGGCAGAAAAAAAAACTTATTTGGAGGTATGCCCCCGCAGCGCTCAAGTCGTCTCTGGGTCCGCGCTTTAACCCTCGCCCGCACATGGGGGGGGGGGGTGGTTGCCACCCCCCCCCCCCCAGGCAGTCTTTCTGCTCTGCCTCTGCACTCAACATTTTTAGAGCTAGAAGGCTGATTTTTCGTATAGCTGCTCGCCTATCCTTTCTTGATGTCCACTGAAAATTTCAAGTTTCTGTGATTTTTGGTTTCGGAGATATGACCTTGTTTTTCAGGTCATGTCATGACCCAAATGGCCAATTCTCAACATCTTGCGTTTGCCATGGGCCTTGTGAGCTTTTGACACCCTGATTTCGGCCTTTTTTGCCAGTCTTACCTCCCACCTATCATGGAACATGTTGTTCGACGATGTACAGGAGTCAAGGTCAGTGTCAAGGTCAACCTAGGTCATCTAAGATAATTGCGTTTTAGGCAAGCTGAATTTACTTTTTGTGAAGTTTTTTGACTGCATTTTTGGTAAAAGCTTCTCAGATCATGATTTCATGTAATATGGACCCAAAAACAATCGGTGCACACATCAGTATACACACAGACACACACAGACATACAAACACATATAATTGACCTTGACCTAACTTGACCTGAAATGACCTCAGCAGCAAAATTCTGGTCGGATAGTGTGACAAAGAGGTTTTAGCTGGCTTGGCACCAGAAAACAGCATCGTCATCGGTATTTGATAAGCAGCGCACTTGATATCCAACGGTGACCCAAAACAGCAACATTTTTTAGTTTGACCTGACCTGGAAGGTCAATGACTGACCTGAGAAGGTAAAACTGGGTATCATTGGATTCGTCTCTTCCCAAAGAATCTTTTTGGTCTTTACTGCTAAGCTCTATCTCCAACAGGAACGAAATGGCGCGGGGGGGGGGGGGGTGGCAACCACCCCCCCCCCATGTGCGTTCTAGGATGGGAAAATGGCATGTGCGGGCGAGGGTTAACCCTCGCCCTGGCAGGAGGGTTTAACCCTGGATAGCAACAAAAGTCAATCTTTAGGTCCAAGTAATTTCCTTTCGCATAATTTTCTTCCGATCAGTTTACTACTGAGATCACGGTGGTCAAACCCATGCAGTAATTTTTCCCGATTTTGACAATATTTCACAAAGAAGCGTGTAGGCAACTCTACGTAGTACGCATTCATAGCTTTTTCAAACTCCTTTCGTTAGTAGGTCCTCAGGCTAGAACTCAAGTAAACGGTTTGACGTAGAGAGGGCAAAATCGCCAGAATACGCATTTTGATGAAAAAAAAACTGATCAGCTACAACCAGTAAAACGCCTTTTAGGCGGAGAACGAGCGAGCGAGATAGTGAGCCCTGCACGTGCGGAAGGGCGAGAGTAGGTACCAACCTCCAACGGGCTTGTGCAAAGCACCCTTCTAACCGGTCGCTAGCGGTGTAACAAATTTGAACGCAATCGGCCCAGCCGTTCCTGAGATCTGGAAGCGGCATTCTGCACGTGCGCACGTGCAAACGGGGTCCAAACTGACTTTTGCACGGCACCCTACTAACTGGTCCCCAACCGTACCTATACCAAATTTGAGGGCAATCGGCTCAGCCGTTCTCGAGATCTAGAAGCGCCCCCTGCATGTGCGCACGTGCAGTAGCACCTTAACTGCAACACATTAGAATGCATTGCCTGGTGGGTGCCTACTGCCTATCCTGTATGCCAAGTTTCAGCGAAATCGCCCCAGTAATTACCGAGTTATTGAAATGGAAACAAATTTGGCACCTCTTCTTTTCTGTATTTTGCACGTGCAGTAGGGGTCACTCACATAGATCAAGAGTATCCGACCTTTGGTATGAGGGATGCAGCTACCCTACAAAAATAACCGCAAGACAATCGCCCTTAACCCGCGCCCCACTGGGGGGGGGGCTATTTATAGCCCCCCCTCCCGTTTTTCTACAATAACTTCCAAACCGCTTGACGAATCGACGCCAAACTTTCAGTACCTTCGGCTGCATCAATTTGACACCTTGTGTCAAAATTTGAACTTCGTAGCTACCATAGGTCGGCCAGAAATGACGTCAGAGTGACGTCATGTTCGTCCGATTTCGACGCAAAACATTGAACCACGGCAATCGCTCCCAAGAGCTCAGTTTTTAAGCTAGATCCAATTTCTTTGCATTAAAGGACTCAGAATTGACCGCGCTATCAAACTGCTATCTCGGATTTTCAAAATTTTGAAAATTTCGAAAATTTTATATAATAATATTCAAAATTTATATTTTTATATTTTTTTCAAAAAGTTTTTGACTTTTCGGAAAAACCGGAATATATGTGACAGAACGCATGATTATGACTAACTCTAGCAAGTTTTAGCTAAATATCTTCAAAAATGGCCAAGTTATACGCATTATTGCAAAAAATTCACAATTATTTATTTTTCAAATCAATTTTTCAGTACGTATTTGGCATCGTACACCAATATAAATGGCACCATCGTGTTCCTGAGCTCAAACTGCATCCAATAGACACCTTTTTTGTTGAAAAATTTCAACTTCAAAATTTGACCTTTTTTGACCTGAAAGTGACCTGACCTAAGCTAATTTCGACTCAAAATGACCTTGAATGACACACACGACATCAAATTCGAAATGTATGGCCTAAATGGACCATAAAACATGTGTCACGTGACCGACGCATGATATAATATTTTCGTGACCTGTGATGACCTGACCCTGACCTGAAAATCAAAGTACAAGTTTGGTACCCTCAAGGTATCTAGAGCATCTGTTCACGAGTGTGGAAACCAAAAATGAGCCTGATCTGACTTGTAAGACGGCGGCCAGAGCCCAAAATGTGAACAAGCCAAAGTGCTAATAATTTTTACTTTGACCTGACCTGTGACGTCATCGGTGACCTCGAGGTTAATGAAATTAGGTTTCGCTCGACAGTTTTTCCGGGGCTATCAGACGCCGTTTGAATTTTGACGATCGGCCCAGTAGTTTCGGAGTTAGGAGGGGGGGCTATGAATAGCCCCCCCCCCCCCCCCAGTAGGGCGTGTTATACACAGACCCCAGTGGGGCGCGGGTTAAGCAGCTGCTGAGATATGAGCCTCTCAAAATTACTACTTTTGCAAAACAGCTTGAACACCCTTGACTTCTCACGTGGCATGGCCACGACGGTCACTGAGATGTTTTAAAAGTAGTCAATTACCGGGTAGAAGGGATGGGACTACCCAGCAAAAAAAGACCGCAGGCCAATCGGTCTAGCGGTTGCTGAGATATAAGCCTCTCAAAAGCGTTACAGGCCGGGCCGGGCCGCTCAAACTGATATTTTCCCGTTATATTGAAAAGACTCACTTCGCTCGTTGCGCTCGCTCGCTCGTAACTATTAATTCCCTACCAAGGTATAGCAATCGTTCTTCTCATCTTCGCGTATATCAATCTTCAAAACGCGTTGAATAAATTCAAATTTGACATTTTAATGTTTTTAAGTAAAACATTAGAGTTTGCTTTAGGTGAAGGTCATGACCTGAACGAAAAAGGTCATGTGGCACATCAATGACGTTTTAAATGTTTTTCATCACTTCTATGAAACATCAATCAATACAAGCTGAACATGCTCACTATAACGTCCGCTATTACGAGTACAATCACTACTCTTTAAAAAAAAAAACAACCAATTACCCTACAATCCGAATTTACGCAATTCACATCACGAAAACCCATCACCATCTTTCTGTCACGTTTAAAGTCCGCGCGGCAAGCGGCTGTCAGCATCAACCAATCAGCGAGCAGTGTGCCGGTTTCTCGTGCGCTGATTGGCTGATGTACCGGCCAGGTGTTTAGCGTTCAACACCTGGTAGGGAACAGCTGTGCGGCGAGGCGGGCGGCGAGTCAGTAGGGCGGTGGAGGTCGGAGGGAGAGGTTGTGCTGATCGACGCTCTGTGAAAGCTAGAGATTGAGACTGAGACAGAGAGAGAGAGAGAGAGGAAGTGAGAGATACATCTTCTGGTGGAGAAAGCAGAGGAGGCGGCTGACAAAAAGGAGATAAACGGAGAAAGGTGAGTTGAGTTGAGTTTGTGAGTGGTGAGTTTCTGTTGAGTTCGGTTCGTTTCAGTTTGTATTGACTATGATGCTCAGTTTGATGTATTGAGCTTGTGTTGAATTTGTGTTCGGTTTGGTTGAGTTTGTATCTTCTTTTGAGCTTGTGTGAAGTTCAGTTCAGGTTTGTGGACTGTTTCAGTTCGGTCGGGTTCGTAATATTTTGTTGGGCAAACTAGGCGGCGGGAATCAAAATATGGAGGCATCAAAATATTGATTCTAGTGGGCGGAGCTTTGACCATATATGGGCATACGTGCAGACCATCACAGAAACGTCAATTATTCAGCAACCGGCTATAATTTCAAAATAGTTTCTTCACAAAATGAAGAGCAACGTTGAAGCTACCCGCCAGGCACGAAACAATAGCCCTAACCTCTTTGGTTAGTTTAGGAAAGCGTCTTGAAAATAATCAAGATATTGATTCATCACGGCGGCTAATCCCGGCAAGAATCAATATTTTGATTCCACAAACAGCTGGCTAATCATTATTTTGATTCTGAAATCAGCTGGTTTATCAATATATTGATTCTGCGAACTGACTTTCTGCAGACGTACTTCACCCTTTAAATTGATTTATGGGATGTTTCTTGTGTGCAAATAATGCAAATTCAATAAATTCATGAAGATATTATCAGCACAGGATCGTGTAATTTTTTTCTAGACCTTATTCCCACGGTAGACCAGGGATTTTCAGCTCTCACCCTGGCTCCCTGCTCAAAGCTGCAAGCCTTCGAGGGAATGCGTGAAGGGAGCCGTGCTGACCTTTGTATAGGGGTTGTACTGAGTCGGAGCCGGAACCGAAGCCCGACCATTTTACTCGGAGCCGGAGCCGGAGCTGGAGCCGATTTTTTCCTCCGGAGCCGAAGCCGTCTGACATTTTCACGGCTCCACATCCCTGCTTTGTAGCATTGATTTTGAGTAAAAAAAAAGTTAACTTATCGTCTTTCACGTGTTCATGAATGTGTTTCTACGCATCTGTATCCCGTCCCATTTCTGTGGAGTACAGTAGGAGATATTTCGCCGAACAATATACTCAAGCCCGTTGCACAAATTGCACAATTTGAATGAAAATATGATACACGGATGTATTTGCATTCGCAAATAATACGAGGATATTCATAACACATTTCACAACGATCCCTGCAATTGCCACATATTTGCCATCACAAAGCCCTGTCGTTGATGCTCACATCCCATGCAAAGCAATACTCACTTTTAGAACACGTCTCTTATTCAATATGGCTACGTATTTGCAAAACATGCAGTTAATAATATTTGAAACTGAGACCTAACCAATAAGACATACCGTGGACAGGTGAGAAAAAAACAAATAAACGTCTGGAGAATGACCTCAACGTCTCGATGTTGCCTAATTACAAACAGCAATTTTCGGTTTCGAATCAAATACATGAAATAAATATAAACAAAATTTGTACAGATACACTCAATATAGGGTTTATGATTAGCACGGCTACCTAAAACATCAATCCTGTCAGGTTGAGCCACTTATGTCCACACCCAAAGCAGGTCGCTTTGGAACACCACAAGATCCCATATTACCACCGAAAACGGTCACCAATTGGTCTACTGATCAGCATCTTCAGAACATTCTCGACCGAAAAGCTATCAGTCCTGTCTGTGTTTTGGTTCGCTTCATCTGGGCTATGCGCACGTTTTTCTACTCCGGTTCTAGGGACGAGATAGCAGTCATCACGCGCTGCACCAGCTCGTTCTTTGACAGGTTGGTGACGCTGTCGTCATCCGGCAGGATAAACACGTGGCGCATTTTACCTTCGGCCCCGCCAGCCACATACACACTTCCTTACGTCATATTGTTTCTCGCCACGAGATCAAAGTTCAAAAGGTCGTGATGTAGGTAGTCTCCGCCCAGCCCGAGTCAGGTACTCCGCCGGTTGGTCGGGTGCGGCCAGGTCCGCGCAACGCCGCCCTACTTCGGTCGACGCTCTGGTTGACAGGGATGGCGTTGTCATACAGTTGCCTGTCGACTGAACAGCGATTCAAGACGCCATCCTTGGCCCTCTGAAGCCGATCCCCGCAACGACCAGTGTTTGATCCTTGGTTGACCTGCAGCAAACAACAGAACACAATAATCAGGACATTTGTGGACAATAAATTAGGAAACTATATGTGTTATTATTCCCCTTGTTCAGCAACTATTAATTTTAGAATGTATTTAATAAAAAATTAAATACTTAATGTCACTTAAATTTCCACTGAACGCCACCAGGTGCGCCAACAACTGTCATCTCATGCAATTATATAAATTCTGCCAAAAAAGTAGATCTGAGGCCAGTTGTACCAACAGAAAAATAGGTGGCTGCTGGATTTTTTTTTTTTTTGTCTAAAAGTTACTTCACATACAGAGCATGAACGGTACAGCCCTATCCTTTTACGTGCCCATCATGTTAACGCTCCATATGTGAAGCAGTCTTTAAGCAAAAAATTCCAGCAGGCAGCTATTTGTGTTGATAAAACTGGCCTCTAAAATTAACTTTGGCATGGACAATCCTGAAAATTAACTATCCAGCATTCCCTGGACTGCCGTACATTAGACACATAATTTTCTTGAAGATCACGCATAATGTAAATATGGCTTACACCATTCAGCAACTTGCTTTTGTTACACTTAAAGTAAGCACCATTAAATATGTAGCAAAAATCGGCGAAGCAATTACAAGCCAAGCATACATACCTACTATTTAGATAAGGCAAACACGAACATGCACTACGACCTTTCAATCTTAACTCGGAACAAGTCAATAACCTAATTGCCATTAAAAATTTAAATGCTACAAATTAAAGTTGTAGCAACAATTGGGTGAGTGAGACACAAGCAGAGGCTAAAACATCCAAATTATGTAAAATACTGGACATGCACTGCCCCCATTTCATGAGTCCACCCAACAATTCTATCATGTGAGACAAAACATTAGGCTTCTTGTAACTAATTTATACCCTAACTTTTAAAGGACATCATATTTCACTGAAATACTACACCTAAGACATCATTTTCAAAAAAATATAGCTTAAAAAGACAATAGAAGAGTGAGAAGGCGTCCCGCGCCGCTGACGTCGCTACCGCGCCATGTTCCTAAAACCATCTCTTAAAACGAGTCTTCGGTAAGAAACGTTAAGATCACATGCCTGAAATTGAAAAACACACTTCAAAGTATCTTAAAATATGATCCATTGTTACTTACACTTCAGAAAAGGTCGCTTAGACAAAATAAAACCGGGAGCACTACGTTGCATCCACACACCCACGACGCCGGCGCGAAATGGCGGGAACCGGAAATCGTGGCTAGATACAAAGAAAAAGAATATTTCTTATAAATGAATTATACAACTAAATAACGCATTTTTTATTTTCTTTTAGACAAAATTATGAAAAAATTACAAAGGCTCGTCGTTAATGATAAACAGAGCAAGTTTTAACAGCACGTTTTTGTTGAATTATGGCGGCGAAATCTTTATGCCATTCGTAAAGGTACGCGCGACAAACGGCTGATAGCCATGCAGCGAAAAATTGAAGCGGGGAAGTTTTTTGTTTTGACTTGTCAAAAAATCTCGCCGTCATGGGGGTTATTTCCGCCGTAACGGGTCGTCTGAAGGTGGGAATGTCCCAAATTGAATCAAAATATTGATTCTATGCCCATATATGGTCAAAGCTCCGCCCACTAGAATCAATATTTTGATGCCTCCATATTTTGATTCCCGCCGCCTAGTTTGCCCAACTGAACACTTCCCGCGGTATTTTATGCTTCGAAGAATGTAAATTGTACGACGTATACGAGTCGTTAGACTGTAAGTGAAGTTCGCTGTCTGTTGAACTGTGTGACTCGTGACTCTTTTGACTCAGTTTTGCTTCTGTCGTTGTACTATGACTCTAATGACTCAGTGAGTGGTAGTGGTGGCACCATGTGTCTATGACTTGACTCCGAGTCACAAATGTGAATCGCTATGTACCAATTTGTTGTAAGATAGCTAGAAACTCCTTCAACCATAGGACTCAGCTACTCACCAATGTCCAATGACTCACTCTGTTAGTCAGCCATGGCTATGCCCCTCCCCCCCCCCCACCCCACCCCATCCGACTGCAGCTGTGTACCCATATTACCCCTCACCCCCTCGCCGCCCCCCACAGCTGTGGCAGCTGTAAGCTCCCCCAAACCCACCCCACCCACTCCCGTCCCTTCCTCTTTGTCCAAGTGTCCCCTGTCCCGCTGTCCCACTCTAACCCACTTCGTCCCGACACTCCACTGTCCCAATACTGTACCCCGTGTATATCTCTCTTTCCGATTCCTATTCTTTCGCTACTTACTACTCATCACTCGCTTATTCCCATTAACATCTCGCGATTCCCGCAACCATAAACAATGCAACATCCAAATTCATATCTTTATTCAAATTTCCCACAACGCTTAACTTACAACCCTTCTCCTTAGCTCGTAACTCCCTCAAAACTTCTATAATTCCAACCTCCTACATTTTACAACTCCAAACTTCAACTCTTCAACAGCTCCAACAACTCCAACTCCCCAAACTCCGGGCTTTATCCCTCACTCATACACCGGCTTTGTATAGATTATAGATCACTACTTTCCTCCACTACTCCATTCGTCCTTCCATATCCTGGCTTCAGCGACCTTTCCTCAGGCTCTCTGTAGTGACCTCTTTCCGGATCTCCCAATACTCTTGCATCCTTCCCTCTTTTGTATAATTTTAGCTCGAAGGTTTGCATGGACGGATTGACAGAGCCGGAGCCTAGCTTGCAAGCTAAGCAGAGCTTGTTGGGTAGACCCTGGCCCCTACCGTCCGATCGCGCAATTCCGGGTAACGGGAGAATTTAGATACCAAAGAGTAACGTTCTCTTCAGAGTCGGACACGGCCTGTTCTCTCTGTCTTGACTCATTCGCGCTCTGTCTTATGAGACACCTT